TCTCTCTCTCTCTCTCTCTCTCTCGTCTAGATGAGACCTAGGTCGACCGCGGCCTTCTTGTATGAAGCTTTGTTTATCCTTCCGATTTTAAAGTTATTTACACTCAGTCTCTTGCCGATTTCGCTTTGGCTGTATCCTTCCTCTAATTATAATATGAAGCTGACACTGTCTTACTCACTCAAATGTCTGAGCCATTTAAATGGAGTGAAAAAAGGTTTAACAATAAGAAAAATATAAAATGAAATCAACTAAAGAAAGAAATTGAGAACTGAAAGCGATCTTTAGGCTTGACAGAATGGAAGGGTATAATGCTACTTTTTTGTGCTTATTTAATCTGTACAAAATGAAACGAGGGAAGTAAACAAAGAATTATTTCCCGTTTATTTTGACTACGAAAGCTCCTAATGACATGAAAATAATCAAAAACGATATTGGATATAATTTTAAACTAAATGAACCGAGTTGTTTTTCATCAGTAGTTTTTAAAAAATGAGTTGGCAAATATTGCGTTGTATCTTTTTGTTCTGGTGCGGTGAAGGGGCTAAAAAGTTTAAAATAATTATTTTGGTGAAATATATTGTTGGTTTAGTTCATTCCATTGAAAAAAAAATGAAAGAAAATCAAACCTCATTTGGAAAACTCTACGATTTTAAACATGTCAATGTTATGGACCTGACACATTAATGGTAGAACTAAAAAAAAATGGATTTTGTTACATTCAATTTAAGCGAACGTTTATTATTTTTTATCCTCACTTGCAAAAAAAATGTATAAATCGTTAGCACATAACCGTAATTACATTAAAATACAAGGTGAGATCATAGGGAGTATTCTTTGAAATTCTGCCAGTGGGGGAAAAGGGTTCGGGTTATGCGGTTGAGAAGTACCCCTTTTCGGGTTGGTTTGGCCGGGATTAAAGTCTACTCTAACGTCTCTTTCTAAATGCAAATCCTAAGCCATGGTCAGAGCAGGTGATATTCCGTCTTTTCCTCCAGTTACAGCCTGTTTTCAGACCCGGTTTTACCATTGCACACCTCACCGGCTATTACAGAATGAAATAAAACTGCCTCCCCCTGATCTCGAGGGAATTGTTTGAATTTTTAAAGGTCCGCTTTTTATTTTTTTCCGTTCTACACCTTAGCGTAGAACGATACAAAAACTACGGAAAAAATGTACTTCTAATTCTGAAATCTTTAGACCGTTCCTGTTACTGATAGAATTACGTTTTACATTAGGTTCATTTTTATTGAACTACACATTGAAACTTATAAAAATAAAATTAAATCTAAGTATTTTGAACTGTAGATACAGATTGTACTATCTTCCGGTTTAGGCTGAAATTTTCAATCGCAATTTGTTTATTTAAAAAGAATCTAACTTAATTACCTGTATAGTAATGCAATGTAACTCTTTCGTTGGGCAGGATGCGATTTAGATGTTAGGAGTTTTAGATTAAAGCAGGTGTAAAGCAAGGTGGTTTATTAAGCTCACTGTTATTATCCTTATTTATTAAAGTACTGGAAGACAGAAGGAGGTGGTATTTATGTGGGTGGCTTAATGCTAAAAGGAGTCGTCCTCTTCCGCAACCTATCACACCGAGACCGATCAGGTCTATTGTGCAATTTCCATAATTGTCCAGATTCTTCGAGAAGCACACTTTTTACTAGATGCTGAAGTTTTGTTAACTTCTCTTTGTTAACCGTCTCTGGGCGATTCCAGCAGTTAGAATCTCCTCTTACATTGGCCTCCGCAATAACAAAACACGTTTTACTCTTGAGGTAACAATAAGTTCAACATAAATAACTTTCAGTTAATTATTCTTTCCATGTAAGGTCTTGGTTGAGATAAAAAAGTGTAATCGGATGTTGTGTAATAAGGAAAAAGAAGTATCACTTCACTAAACAGCTCCCCGTGGCCACTTCATAAGTCGCTGAGAATCGAATCCGATTACACGACATTTGAAAATGGTAAAAAGAGGGAAGATTAGAACGGTTGTAGGTTGAGGTGGGAAGTTCGTGTCCGAATTGATCGAAGTCACGATAGATCAAGAGGTTAGAGCGGCGTATTTAACCGAAGGTCGTGGGTTCGAATCCCGCTCGGGACACTGACTTTTTTATCTCAACCAAGATCTTACACGGAAAGAATAATTAATTGAAAGATGTAACTTGGTCAATTGGCTACTAAAACGTAAATAAATAACTTTAGTGATTAATGCAATGTGCCTTGTCACTTATATTCCAATAAAGTTTGTTTCTCAGGAAACAGTATACAATAATGCTGATATAGGAAGAAATATAGCACACTTACAGATGAACTAACCGACACTGGTAATTTTAGGTTATGGTTTAAGGTTAAAAGTAGTGGAGAACTTAACGACGTTTCGCACTTCGACCAATATTGGTGTATTGTGCAATATCCATTATCTAGATCTCCTCGTAAACCCTTTACCAGATCCAAAAACTTTCCTAAGGGCAGCCATGTGTATCCTTCAGGACTTGGCTTTTCTTCACCCAAGAGTAAAAACCTCAGGTTGCATACGCCTTCACACGAACGGAGGACATTTTCAGGTGTTTTGTCCTCTTCTGCCCAGGCTTGTTTCTGCTGCTCCGCTACTATACAGCAGCCTACAGTAGAGTTACTGAATTTAAAATTAATTAATGATATTAAAATATGTGTGTATGATTTTAAAATAACAATTGGAAGATAATGGCCATGGAATTAAATGCCTATTATGAATTTAATGAAAACATTGTTTTATTTACGATTAAGCTTAATTATTATTGTAATCATTATGACAAACTATATTAGCGTTTATATAAAATAAATTAAATACGGTAGTTCATAGCTTTAACAATATATTAAGACAAATGAATAATAATAAAGTTTGAGGGAGGTGTTTGATTTTGAAATATGATCATGTCACGATCTTTAAGGATTGAGAAACTTGCTCCGTCGCGACCTTGTTTTATCGTCAGGATATAAGGACCGAATATAGTTAAATTTCAACTTTCTCTCAAGGGTGATAGGAAATTTTAACCCTAGGACAATCAACTTGAATAAACTTGTTAACACAGTTTCCTAACGGATTTCGATATTTTAATTAAAATGGATTTTGGGCCGACGCGACGGAATACGGTACACGGATTGAATTGCAAATTGTCGTAATCCTACGGTGCTAATAAAAAAAAATCAAAGCGAGATACCACCTGAAAATTAAACTAACATAAATTTTACAGCCGTAATAAAACTATATAATGCCTCTCTTGTTGTTAATGGGGTTAACACTATCGTGTTCAGACGGGATTGAATTGGATTTTTTTAATTCAACGTACCAGTTAAATCACTACCAGTTTTAATTGCATCGCCGGAGGATTTTTATTAGTATATTACGTATATTTTATTACTTCTTTCTGTGATTAGTTTTAACGTGGATATGGTTTTGGGATAAAAATTGTTTTGTGTGACAATTTTTGCGTTACTGCCAATGGGTTGGGTTAGGATAGGAACAGATAGATTAGAGAGTGTTACGTTAGGGTTATTTTTAGGAACGGGTTAGAGTAACGGTTGGTGTTATGTTAGATTAGGGAACAGCATATGTCATGGCTATTAGAAACAAGTCAGATAGGAATAGATTAGGTTAAAAGTTGAAACGAGTTTGTGAGTATAACAATCCTTTTTAACTAATGAATTGATACACTAATATCAAAATAAAGATTTTAGCGTAAAATAAAGGTTAGCTTAGAGCATGGAACTTCCACATAAGAGACGGTGAGGAACACATTACGTTAGATTAATACTTAACCTTTAAGACACCACAGAACTTTAAAACATGAAGGGAAAAACAATAAAAGCAAAATACATAAGACCTTGTAAATTTGGTTTAAACATATTTCACAATTATAGTTATATATGTTTTTATAGGTCAACTTAACCAAAGTATTTTTTAAATTAATTAATTACTTTTATTTAAATTGAGTTTGAGATGAAAGATGAGTGGCACGACCCGTGGGGCTCGAACCTATATATTTTTCTCATAGAATGTTTTTCATGTTATAACAAATTCCTGAGGAAAATTGTATAGTCTGCTTAAATGTATTACAAGGCTGTGCATGCTACTGAATTCATGTAATTTATGAAACTTAAATTATTACTTTTTAACGAAGTATTTAAAATAAATACTCAGTTTTGAACAATAAATAAAATATTGTTTTTAAAATTAACTATTTTTATTGTGGGTTGAATTTAATGCTGCCTTTAAAATGTTCTATTTTATGATTTTGATACGAATATCGGAATTATAATTTTCTTAAGCATTGAAATATCAGTCAATTAAATAATAATTAATATTATTGTGTCTTAACAGGAAAGAATTATAGTATAATTTGTTGTTAAATGTTAAATCTATGCTTGCAAATATAATAGGTCGGTAGCCAAATATATACAGAGGTAGAAATTGGTAGAGATATTGAAAGGGGGAGAGAGAGAGTGAGAGAGAGAGAGAGAGAGAGATAGATAGAGAGAGAGAGAGCGAGAGAGCGAGAGAGCGAGAGAGAGAGAGAGAGCGAGAGAGCGAGAGAGAGAGAGAAAGCGAGAGAGAGAGAGAGAGTGAGAGAGAGAGAGAGAGGGATGCATATATACTGATTCGACTGTCAAAAATTAGACAGGTCCAAACATTATTTTAAATATTTCAGGATAGGTCAATTGAAAAGTCTCATGTTTAAAAAAATAAACAAAAAAATAATATAAAAGTTATAAATGTTGTTGACGTTTTCTCAATGAACATGACGTGAAGCTAAAACGCGTGCGAGTGTACATAACGACCTAAAAGACACGGAATTACAGTGATCTTTGTCGAATAATGTTCTTGTATTCAGATCGAAAACGCCACCAACTTTAGTAAATCAGTTGTCAATTTTAAAATTATTGATTAGTGACATATTCTAAATATATGCCCTTGCTTTTTGGGTCCTCGTTTTCAACTGTCTATTTTCGTTTCCCAGGTTCTTGGTGTTTAAAAAGTGTGGTGATGTGGGCGCCCGAGATGGTCAGGGCGGGCACTACACTCCAGCTGATCTGCCACTACGACCTGGAAGATTCCGACCTGTATTCAATCAAGTTTTATCAGGGCGACCAGGAATTCTACAGATACGTGCCGAAAGAGGCTCCCCCAACCAGGGTGTTCGCACTCCCGGGAATACAAGTTGACGTAAGTACTACTGAAAATGGATGAAACAATATGTAAATTTCCCCGGAATGAAGTGCACTGTAAAAAAACAAAACAGAACAAAAAAAAGTACGTGATTTTCCGAGTAATATAGCCAAAAGTTAATTTTCTCTTTCATTCATTTGCCCAGGCTCATCTTTTAAAATGAATCCGCATACTACCTGCAGTATAATAACACTAACACCATCGTGGAAATCGACCCTTTCAAATTTACCACTCCACAATATGCTCTGCAACAAATCTAAAATGTTTATCTCCTCTTTATTTTCTTAGTTAACATTAACTTGTCATGCTTCGTTTTCCTTTCAAACAGTACTAATGAACATATCATAGATATCAGAGATATCACTTTTTCAGAAATCTTTCGTGCGAAGATTCCTTACTACGCTACTGAATAATGATAATACTAAATAATCAAGTAAATTAACATTTTATCATAAATCAGAAACAAACATATTCTTCATAAAGTTATAACCACACGTTTTTCTAAAATATTTTACTAATTATGAAATTTTTTACATTGTATACATTTTTCTAGTTTATTTATTATGTATAATTTTATTTTAAAAATCGATCAGGAATGATGCCATTTGGAAAAACTGAGTTCCTTCGTTGTGCTTTCGGAAAATACACACATCAGGAGTCAGGGATATAAAACTAACTACGCATTTTAAAAATATTAAGAAATAAACATCTAATCACATTACACATTTGATATATTTGTTTAATAAAATTTACTGAGGATTTTTTTATCTTCTAGATGATTTCAGTTCTTAATATCATTATAATTGAAGCAATTAATGTTTAAAAGCGTAAAAATTTAAACCAAGATTAATAATAATTCATGCTCCAGAATATGTTAGTAATGAAAACATTAACTTTTTAAAGGAGCCATTGCCATGTAGTTTTTGGCTGTCAATGTTTTCATTCCGAAGTTTGTTTTTGTTAATAAAAAGGATCCTAGAAGAAAGAATTTAATTACTGAACTTGACCCCAAATTGCGTATAAGAATTCTTGAAACAAAAATTAAACTAAGCTGGTCGATCTGTATAGCAGAAGATTATATTTACTTGAACCTATGCTTTAAAGGTTATCAATACAGACATGTAGTCTGTAACTATATGAATTATATATTGTAAAGAGCAAATAACCAGTACTCTTTGCGCAGAAAATCACGAACTTAAAGCGTACAACAAAGATGTGAAAGTCTACTCATGTGTTAATCATTCAGCCCTTGATTAAGATACAACAACTGACCGTGTTTTCTATCAAATGATTGATTTGCGGATTGTAAAATCACGAAATGACAAAGTTTGTTAAAATTTATACAACTTAATTTAAATAAATCCGGTTCTTATACAGCATGTCTAAACGGAATTATATATTGCTATAATTGAAGAGCCTTATCGCATTAACGACGAACTAAGGAAATCCACAAGGGATGACGCATTTATCAATCATCACAGAGAAGAAAAAGAACAGCAATAATGGTATCACCATTTTGATGTTATATTTCATTCCATTGCATCTGCATTTCTGTCATTAATGCCAACCTCTGTGGCAAAGAAAATTTGGATAGACTAGCAAAACATGCGACTAGCTTTCTATATTATTGAAAATCATATAAAATATAATTATATATTTATTAATTATAATAATTATATATTAACAATAAATAATAGTAATTATATATTAATAATTATATATTAATAGGGAAGACTAGCAATGCAGAATCTACGACTTGGTATGACGTTCTCACAATATAAGAGAAAAACTGATGGAAATTCTTGTTTCGTCAAAATCTTTAATTATCTTTCAAATACATTGATTGAATGTAAAAATTTTTTGGCATTGTATAAATTAACTTTTTCCCTCATCCTACATGTATTTGTTACATTTAAACAACGTTTGTAAATCCCAGGCCCTGAAGATGATCTCAATAAAGATCGAAACGTTGGCCCGATAAAGAAAATGTTTTTCTGAAACCTACGTCACACCAGACCGCATCTCACGATTTCCGAATAATCTTTAATTATCATTAACGTCAATTACGGGAATACTACTTTTCAAAGTTCCCGAGGACATAGCAGTATTGACCGAACTGTGGGAACAGCCCTCACAATCCCTATTAAGACAAAATGGAAAAACTATAATTACCGTTCAAATGAAAAATTTGAAAAAATTGGATGATAAGGCAAAATCAGCATTTGGACATAAATTTAGAACTAAAGAGGCAAACTAGGAATTGTTCGATAAATAATTTAAGACTGAGGCTTGCAAGCTTTTAGCGGAATTACAGTACTCTTCCAAGATCAGCACTTTCTCTGAAACTATTATATGCATATAACAGATAAAAACTTGGCTGAATAATAAAGCAACACAAAACTATAACCGATTTAGCCCAAAAATTGCAGATTTAATAACGTGGGTTTCGAAATAAGTATTTCTTGTTATTTAAAAAAAAGAGAAAGGTAAAAGGTAAAAGTACTTTGGCCGGCAAAAGAATGAACACTATTCAGAAGGGAAAGGAAGTAAATAGACTGGGAAGCCAATTCCAACGAACAAAAACTATCCGTCTTTGAAGGAACAAATAAAAATGTTTATTTTTTTGGCTAAAAAGCATATCAAACACAAATTATTAGGTGGGTCTACTGTAGTCTGGTCGCATATTTAGCCGAAGATCGTGGGTTCCAATCCCGCCTGTGACACAAATTTCGAAAAAAATTGTGTATAATTAATTGAGTAATTATATAATTAAGCATAAGCTGATAAAAATAAATAAAAGTTAGTATCATCTAATAGTGTTGGTGAAACCTCCCTTGAAAATTTGAGGAACTGAGGACCGTTTAAATTCTTTATGTAGAAATAAGGTCCAATTAAATTATTTCAGATAAGTCTACACCAAACGTTGATACTGTGAACCAGCTGATATGATAAGAGTTCGGAATTATCGGATTTTCATCAGCCTACGTTTGACAATTCCAAAGGCTTAGTACGCCATTAGAGGTGAAAATGGATTCACCAGTCCATAGAATGTATGGAAGAACGCTTTCTGCAGCCTCCCAAATCGACATTTGTGCAAGGAACGTTATAGTCCTTAAAATTGTAAGTCCGGGGTAAGATCAGGAATTTCTGGGAGTACAACTCAACTTCATGACTCCCAATACCACCACTATCAATAAAGCAGTCATCAATTCGCTGTTGATCGGCAAAATGTGCTCTTTGGTTCAGTTTGAATGTAGTATTGAAAGTAACAAATAATTAATAACATAAAATTTATTTACGTCCAGAAATTAAGATTTGCTTTCATAAAGCGAGTTTGTCAAATAATGACAGAATGTAAACAATAAAGGAATGAAGAACCAAATTATTGGAATTAACAACGAAACAAACGTAAATCGTTATTCAACCTTTTTGCCATAACTTTGTCATTTGACCTATTTAAAACCCGATTGCACCATTGTTTTCGTCATAAAAATTCCTTTGAAATGATGTGTCAGGAGTGTATAGGATCGTATTTAAAATTTTGAAGTTGAACTGGGTCTGACGTACACTGTATAATTTTTCTCTAAAAAAGGAAAATAATAATTTAAGATTTGGGAGCAGGTAAACATAAATTCCGGAACTACAGGGACTGTAGTTGGTGGAAAAACGTTCACATAATATAATTGGTGTGAATTAATTCCATTAATTTGGCATTATGACTGTATATTTCTTGATACTTCGTAGGGACAGGTTTTAATTTCGAATCGGATTCATTACTAATCTTTTTTTATATTTGCCATTACTTAGCGTCTATTATAGTATAATATAAAATCATTCTTGTCATAGAAAAAGGTTCATTGTTCTTAGGTAGCGAGATTCCTCTCGCGGTTTGCAAGCATTTCCTAACCATTTACAATTGTAAAATTGATGACTTTCCTTTCTTTCCCGTGATCCGCTGTCAAACTGTATTGTCATGCTAAATCCACTTTTTCATTTCCCCACATAGATCTTAATTATTTTGAAAACAAAACCCCCAATTTAAAAAAAAGTCTCATAAATTTCTGTCGATAAAAAAGTATAAGACTCATTTAAAGAGTTATTCACAGTTACAGTGAATTGGATGCTAATTGTACCTCTAACTGCTAAATGCCCGTGGCTAAAAATATTTTGTCTTACATGAAAACACGATGTAACTTTTGTTCACTATCGCAGTAGCCTTGCATCTATTTTTGATTTATATTTTCCTTTGTTTTAAGTAAAACGAGTGTTTTAAATCTTTTATACTTCATACCCGCAAATTCGTTCCTGAACGCCAGTTTTTGTTAAGGCGCTGTCAGCCCACTATTCAGTTGTACCATCGCATTGTAGTCATCGTACCCTCCGCTTTGAGGTAAAAGTATCACAGCCACGGTATATTCGGGGGTGCTCTGGAAACTAAGAAAGCCATCCATCTTACCCATTACCTGGTCTTATCCATAACCGGCAGATCAAGTCGTCAGTTCTCTCTATCAGCCGTCTAACAGAAGGCGGGCCCCAAGGATTATCTTAGGACCCATCCTGTAAACAGTATACACTGCAGACATTCCAACCCTTTGTGAAACTAACCTTACCACCTTTCCTACCTAATAAATATCCTGTCATCTATATCATAAACCTGCAATCCCATGTCACACCCCATGAGTTATGGTTAAATTGGTAAAAACAATATACGTACAAAATGTGTGTCATTCATTTCGTTAATTTGTACTACAATAGTATCCCTCTTCCACCAGTTAATGTAGTTCGTTACCTTGGGTTAGGTATTGAAATGGAATCCAAGCACGTGAGTCAACTGAAGAAAAACTCAACAAACGAACCATCGGTAAAATAAATGTTTAACTATTTCAATAATTTACCTCGAATACCTTTAGAATTTAAGTTTGGTCAATAGAGCATGGTTGATTGTGCCAAGTTTCTGCCGTCAATTTGAAGACCTTTATTGAAAGACTGTAAAGTGT